CTTTACATTGCATCAAAATCAGCTTTTACGCTGCATTCACCTCTTCATCCATATTATCCCGCTTCGGTTCACTATTAAACCCTCTCCCACATTACAATTCTTTAAATATTTGAAGGCATCTACAATGTCCCCACTAAGTCTTCTTTGATCTAGGGTAAATATCCCCAGACTCATGAACTGGTCATCATGTGCCATGACCTTGGAGCTCTCGTCTGTTCCAGTCATCTTGTCTTCTTCCTTCTAATACCATGCAATTTATCAATGTCTTTCCTAAAATGTCATACCCAACACTGAAACAGTGTTCTACATGAGATCTTACCATCGCAGCATACTGTAGGACTGACGTCATCATTTTCCTGGATATCATGGCCTTTTTAATGTAGCCTTAGATAACATATTTTTGTTCTGTTTTGTTTTGTTTTTTTGGCTGACATATTGCACTCGGGATTTACATTGAAATCCCACCCATTAATACACTAACATAGTTTTACTGATGCCGTCTAACCACATTTCTGCTGTTTTGCCTTTGGGAAGCTGATTTTTTTTTGAAGCCAAGTACATTTTTTTCAATTTCTTTCCTTTACATTCTAAATCTTACTAATTTTAGTCCAGTTGTTTGCCTATGGAGTTCTTTTTGAACCTGAATCTTCCATGACATACGTAAGCTTACCCCCCTCAACTTGATATTATCTTCAGATTTGATAAATATGACATTGAGATCTTTGTCCAACTAATTGATAAAAATGTTACCAAATTGAGAATCAGTTGTGGAATAATGAGTAATAAATGCTTTGTGCTCAAATATTTTGTTTCACAGACTATTTAAAGAAGAAATTTCTAATGGGAATAGTGGTTGTAAGTCACATATCACAAGAATAGAGGTTTGAGAATAGGAAAGTTCTTTTAAAAGATGGTGATACAATCTTAGATTAAATTCAGATTGAAGACCTATTGAACTTTTTTCTACGTTGTAACAAATTGCTGTTCTTTTGGGGTGTGTCTATGAGATTCATAGGTAAAACAGAATCAAAGGATAGAGAAATAAATATAGAAGGTAGGTAAAGTACTGAGATATATTTATGTGGAGCTTAGGAAAAATTAATACATGCTTTGAGTGAAAAAGGAATTACTCTAAAAATTGTCAAGAGTGAATTTGGTGGAGAATATCAAGAGAGTATCAAGGTAACATTTTCTATTAGTGAAAAAGTTAATATCTAAAAATTGTCAACAGTGGATCTGGGGGAGAATATGATTGGATATGGCATAGGCAACTGTGAATAGAAGAAGCTAAGTGAACTGCAGAAATGGTTAAAGGGGTTTTAGAGGTTAGTAACCCAAGAGGAATAATGGCCATTGGTAAGAAAGTGGAAAAGAGTAATGATGCAGGTCTTTCTAGAAAAAAAAAATGAAGATATTAGTACATTTCTGAATTGACTGGATAGATAGAGTGTAGGTGGATCAACTGCCTTATACAATTCACAGTGGAGAAATATAGGCTATTAAGACCTGGAACAAAACTCTCGCAAAATGGCCCATAAAATGCAGCACACTAAATGGAAAATGGGTATGTGAGTATCAGTTAAAACTGACAGCTCTGCATTTCAGCATCGCAGACAGCAAAAGGTGTCCTAGGAGTGATCATTTTAGTTACAAAGAACTAAGTGAAAATATTCTTTCTGGCTACTTCACGCCTACAAATTAAAGAAGCAGACTTTCCTTAACACATTTTTATTCCTTCCAATTTCTATGCAAAAGCCCTTACCACAAAACTACATGGGGCGAGTTGCATAAAATAAGTTGGCTAGTCTAAGTATAGAATGCCTGCAATAGATAATACAGTACAGAATCCTAGTAGAAAATTGTACTTCATTAAATAGCTCAATTCTCTGTGTTTTATGTGTTGTTTTCTTCTGCTAAGGATGTAATACCACCATTGTTTTTATTAAAATCTGTAAAGTATATATTGCAGTTACTTTGCATGAGCAGTTTAGGAGGTCAAGGAGATTTAAGCCAATCACTTACCTAGTGTATTTTATATGATCATTCTTGGAAGGAAAAGAAGGCTATAGTTATCACTTGAATAACCCTAGGGAGGCTGTCAGCAAGTAAAGTGATAAATAACATGGAAGTCTTAAATCTCTTCAGGTCAAAATGGAGAAGTCCAAATGCCCACAGAGCACTATGAAGGAGGATACTGAATATAATTACTTGATAAATTCTTTCAGGAGACTTTTTTTTTTGAGGAGAAAAGATCATTTGTTAAGATAACTTTGAATAAAAGTGTTCGTTAGTCCAAAATTCCATAATTCAATGGTTCCAATTTCCATCTAGTCTTTATTTTTTTAAATTACTTTCGAAATAAGAATTGTGCTTAGACCTGTGTTGTTTAACTTTTAAACAGTTATTTTCAGGGTGTGTCCAAGCTCATGAGGTGCTCAGATATAATTTTTTTTCGCCCAGCAACTTTCTAAATTGCTTCTTTATAGTTCATTTCAGTAGCAACCACTTGAATAATCTAAAAGATAAATTCATTTTGAGAAAACTTACTAATGAAAATTATTTGTTTGTTTATTTGTTTTGAGATTGAGATATATAGTTGGGAATTGGCCACCCAAAAAGTGTGCAGGATTCACCAAAGTCCGTAATAGAGATTTTTACTGACGGGTTATATATTCCAGAAGCCTTAGCTTCTATCACTTCTGGAAGTTCAACATTTTTTAAAGCCCTAGGCTAAGGTTACCCACTGCATCCTGGGCCATCACCAGTCATCTTGACTTTTATCTTGCCACTGGACTTCAATGACTGGAGGAAAGAGTGAGGCTGATGACTTCACACAGCTCTGCCTCACTTAAGTTCAATTCACCAGCAAGTCAAGATATGACCTTTTTGATGTAATTGTTCCTCTTGGAGAACTAAGGACCACAAAAACACCTTGGGCTAAAAGGGGGAAATGGAAATTAAGGTGAAATATTCAACATTTTGATGTTTGAATTTATAAACATGTATAAGAGGTGTTTGATGCATATGCAGCAAGTAACAGAGAGTTCTTATACCAGCAATGTTTACACAAAGGTTTTATCACGACCTGTCAGGAATGACATTTGGGGGATTCCTACACGATATAGGAGATGAGCCTGATCATGTACTGAGGTCCCATTCAATTCTGGTAACCTGAGATTCTAGTCATATTCAGCTTATCTGTGAATATGCTTTTATTAATCTACTGAATATATAAGGTGCTGTGGATGAAAGACAAAATTGAAGCTGCACTTGCCTTCCAGAAGCTTATACTTTATCTGAATAAAATACCCAAAGGCAGCATTATATAGAGGGATAAACCTAATATTAAGATTTGTGTGATGTGATTTTGAATCTCAGCTCTGTTACTAATTAGTTATATGAGCATAGAAAATTCAGTTATCCTTTCCACATTTCAATTTCCTCACCTTGAAAATTAGGCTAGTGATATTTTCCATGTTCACTTCACAGAGGTTTAGTTATAAAGATCAAATGAGAATATTTGAGGTATTAGGATTGTTACTATGCTTTAGGTATACAAAGATCTAGGGCATAGGCTGATTACCTTGCTATTCAGAAAGTACTAATGGATGCTGTTCAAGTGTGCTAATTTAAATTGCCAGAGCACTGCTAGGGTGATATGGTTGTGCAGGAGGGTAGGAAGGTAGGTTATTATTTTTCTGGAAACAAAGGCCTTTAAACACATTTCCTCCTGTTCAGAAAGACATTGAGTATTGTCATTTAAATGGCTTTGCTTTTGTATTGTCTAAAGGAAAATTGTGAATGCAAAACATTTAGTTTATTTCCTAAGTATAGCACAAGGAAGAGTCTCTTGCAGTTTCAATTATTCCTCCAAAATCTTAAAATATGCTCAACAGAATTCATTGCAGAGCCCATTAAGGACCAAGGACACTGGGGTTCCTTCTGTGATAGTAGGATTGAAAAGTATTAATCCTTCCTTTTCATCTCTTTTATTACTTTTCCCCAAGGTTTATAGTGGGAATACTTCACAAAGAATGTGTGTCTTCTGTTGGCGTTTATAGCCATGTTTTGAGTCTTTTTTTTTTTCTATGATGCATATTATATCACAAGCTTCTTTAGGGGAAGAAGAGAATTTTTTTTTCTGTTGTCCAAAAAACATGGTACTATGCATCTTCTTGAGAGAAGCAATTGTTATGGTACCTTCATTAACAACTCGATTGAAAGATATTTCCATCTATCTCTAAAATTATATCTACTTATTAAAAATAAATCATGTTGAAGGGGTCGAGTAAGGGAAGGGTAGAGAGGATCAGGGGTAAAGGGTATCTGTGATTTGACATCACAGAAATGATCAAAAATAATTTTTACCCACAACATTTCATTTTGCTATCTGACAAAATACAAGTATACAATTTTTACTTTGGACAGAGATATGGAAGAAAGAAAATTTGGGTAGCTTTGGCAATGAAAATACTTTTTCAGACACTTCAGGCTATTAATCATATGTGGCACTAATAAAGACAACCCACTCATTGCATGAAATGTTTCTGTTGACAGATCCTTTAAAAAATAGGCTTCTGTATTTATTCTTGTTCTAAGTTAAACTAAAGCAAACATCATTTGGGGCATGAAAATTTTAAGCCTTTCCCTGCCTTTGTAGTATCTACATTGTGTCCCTTGGCATCAGCCAAGATTCTCCAATTGCTAATGATATCTGAAAAAAAAATATGAGCAATATGAAAGCAACATTTCATATTAGGATTAGGTAAAATATGTTGTGATGTTTGTGGACATGAGTCAGTATTCTTGCTGCTAAAGAAATCAAACCATGGCAAAGTCAAATTGGTCAAAGAAATTGTGAGTCACTTACCTGCTCAAAGTGTGATTCATAGCTATTTGAATGCCTGAGGTATAGGATATAGGGAGACAAGATAAATCAAATCCATAGGAGGTGAAAAGGGATACAAATCATACTAATACTTCTTTTGTTTAAATTCTAGAGTCCCAAGTTCCTGACCAACCAAGCTCTCTTCATGTCAGACCCCTGACCACCAGCATTGTAATGAGTTGGACCCCTCCACTCAACCCAAACATTGTTGTCCGAGGGTACATCATTGGATATGGTGTGGGAAGCCCTTATGCAGAGACAGTACGTGTGGACAGCAAGCAGCGGTACTATTCCATTGAAAAGTTAGGTAAGTGTCTTTGAACTTTAGTCTTTGTTAAGAAAAATGCTTTGAACTGATTTTATTTCAATATTGATCTTTTGGAATGAAGATTCATTGCACATAATCACTGACAGTAATGTTTTATAATCTACTAAATAAAATAAATATTATTCATATTCTCTTTTTTGCTTGTTATATAAAGTCCATGTGACATGCGTAGTTGTTACTTATTCATTTTTTTTCAATATTTGAATGGATATGTGATCTTCTTGATGGCCATCTATCTTCTGACTATGTAGATCACCGCTCATCCTGCCTTCTCATCCCATGTGACTGTGATCTATGTTCTGTAAATTCTCCACAACTGGTCCACCAACATGCTGAGTGATTTCACTGAAGTTTCTTGATCTGTGAATACCACTACAATGTACAAGATATCTATCTCTTTATCCCTTATTTGGCCTACATCACTGGCCTACCTCCTTTTTCAGTCATATATCCTTTTGGTGATTTTTTTAGGCCATTTTTTGGCCTGTAATTCATCACTGATGATTTATAGATTCATAGTTTTAATTTGGGAGAGACCTACTGAGTTTTCTATTCTAGCTCGTATACAAACCATCTGGAGGAAATCATTGTCAAGTGTTCTTAGAGAATTTACTTGACACTCCATTTGAGGACTTCTTATTCCCAGCAAAGCCCATTCATTCAGTTTTTGGACATATCTAAGATGTTTTTTTTTTCCCTTCTGTTGAGCCAAAATCTGCCTTCATGGAACTTTTCTACCTATCTGTCTTATTTTCTACACTGAAGGTCCAAGCCAAATAAATCTAATCTTTTTCACACATAGAAATTCTTCATATATCTGAAGCCTCTAATCATGTTTCCCCTAAGTCACCTCTTTAGGTTAAATTTCCTAATTCCTTCAACTGATCCTAGAGTGCCCTGGTAAATTTGAGATCGTTTAGACCATAAAACCCACTCTGTTTCTCAGATTTAGGTTTTTATTCCTGAATTGTCTCTTTTTTGGTACTGCCAACTCACTATGTGTTTGTAGACAGATATGTGACCATGAAAAAGCAAAAATTTCCATCAAACTGGTTGCTTGTCATAGGAAATTTTTCTCTCCAAAAATACATAAAAAGTATTTTACTGAACTCAATTTGATTTTAGAAAAGTGGATCAAGTAATTTAAACTTTTTCTCCCAAATTAATTAAAAATTAGTTGTGCATAGACTGAGCAGCTGTGTGTGGAGAATTTAATAATTCATTGCTTGTCTGTTTTTTCACAACACTGAGATCCTGTTATTAATGGAGTAGAGTGAAAGAAACACAAATAGTATAGCATCAGATTAATAAGGAAAATAATCTAATCAGTTTTAGTGCATGTTCAGCAAAGTTGTGGACTTAATACGGTGTTGTTACCTGTGACTATATTCATCCTGGGGAAGGAAGGTTGAGTAAGGGCAGTATCTTTTGGACAAGGTAGATTTTACTTATTAGGACCCCTAGAAGCCAGGCATACCATTTGTATTAGTGTTGGTTCACATTTGAGTGGCTAAGATTACAGGGACAGTGTTAGAAGCCTGGTCTTCAAAACTAGTGGAGATTTACATGAATCTATTCCCTTCACACCCATCCCACACACTAATAAGCAAAGTAAAGGAGTAACTAGAAATTTCCTACTTTACAGAATTCTCAGTTCAGAAGTGATATTCTTTCAGCCAGTCCCAGCGTTTGAATTTAATGGCAATCACAAAACTCATATTTTGTGCCTGTCAAAACTGTGTCAGGAGACTTTCGTTTATTCATTATTTCAGTACACACTGTCTCTGACAGTTCATCTTGATGCTATGCACGATAGAGAAGCAGATAGATTGCTTTGGCAATGACTGACTGGCTTACTAGCACTGAGAGACATGCTCGAAATCAGAATGAAGTTATGAAGGAAAATTAGTTGTATTGTTTCACTGTATTCTTTGATAATGGCATTTTTTATCACAAGGAAACTGCCTGGGATTCCAATCTGAAGTCTATAAATGAGAGAAGTTTGTAAGTCTTAGAGATTAACTCTGGCAAGCATATACAAATATTGGCCCCGAGCATTTTTTTCTGGTCATGGAAGAATTTATCTCAAAAGAATTGGGAAAGGTGTAGAAGATAAAGAACGGTAGGAACCTAATCTGGTGGCAACAAATCTTAGAGTCCTTTTGATCCCCAAACTCCTAAAGTGTGTGTGTGTGTGTGTGTGTTTGTGTGTGTTGAGAGTGAGAGAGCTCACGGTATTTAAATCCAAAGAATGAAATTAGATGGTAACTTTGATTCATTAATGAACTACCACATGTGAAATCAAATCAACAGGGTCCTTTTGTATAACCATCACTGAACTGAAGATGTTAGAAACTGCTGTGAAAACACCCCCTTTTCCAAAGATGAATAGATTCACTTGAGTGCCATTCAGACCCTCACAATTTCATTTAGAGGCAATATAGAATATGTAGAATGTGCACTGAATGAGGAGATGGAAGGCCTGTAATGAGGCCTTGTTCTACCCTTCCTGGGGACAAGTCACCAAATGAGATTGTAGTATTTGTAAATGTAAAGGGTGATATAAACATCTGTTGTTATCACAAAAATATCCGAACCATAGACTTGATTCAAGACAGCCCACGCCATACACCCCCCTGAAAGAGGAATATCTATATGTGTTTATGCATGCATATATCTATGTACATATGTGTGTGTTTTCAGACATTTTTGGTCACATCTGACTCTTTGTGACTCCATTTGGGATTTTCTTGGCAAAAATGCTGGAGTGTTTGCCATTTCCTTCTCCAGCTCATTTTACAGATGAGGAAACAGAGGTAAACAGGGTTAAGCTACTTGCCCAGGGTCACACAGCTAGGAAGTGTCTGAGGCTGGATTTCAACTCATGAAGATGAGTCTTCCTGATTCCAAGCCTAGTACTTTATCACTGTACCACCTAGCTGCCATATGTATTGGCATATAGATATTTAAAAATGAGTACTATCTTACCTGATTACAACTGAGAGCTTGAGCACATGTCCTTGACTTCATATATCTCATATCTTCTTTAAAAAAAAAAAACACCATAATAGTACTTTAAAAGAGATTTTTATTAATGTCTTATGTTTTTATATTGCCTAAATTTCCCACGGTATGTCTCTCTCTCTCTCTCTCTCCCCTCTCTCCAAGACAGCCATGCCCTATTAGAAAGATTTAAAAGAGAGAAAAATGAATTCAGTAAATTTATCAATATATAGGAAAAAATCTGAAATTGTATTCAATGTACCAGCCTCTGCAAGGGGATGAAATTATGATATCCTCCAATATTACTTCTTCAAAACCATTCTTATTCTTTATAATATTGTAGCACTTTTGATTTTGTGTGTGCAAGTGATTATCTTTCTATTTACATTGTTGTAGTCATTATGTATGTTTTCTTAGCTCTGCTGATTTCATTTGTGATCAGTCCAAGTAGATCTTCCCATGTGTCTCTGTAGTCATATTAGTTATTTCTTATAGTACAATATCCAATTCCATTCATGGACCTCTATTTGTTTAGCCATTTCCTAACTGATGGACATCTACTTTGTTTTCAATCATTTTCTACCCCTAAAAGTGCTGCTACAAATATGTTAGCGTGGGGGCAGCCAGGTGGCAGTGGATAGAGCACCAGCCCTGAAGTTAGGAGGAAATGAGTTCAAATCTGGCCTCAGACCAAACACTTGACACTTACTAGCTGTGTGACCCTGGGCAAGTCACTTAGCCCCAATTGCCCCAAAATAAATAAATAAATATGTTACCATGTATGGGGATTTTCTTCTTAACAATGGCTTTCTTGGAAGTTTAGCAACATTTTAAAAAAAATTTTGCCTGTAACATTCAGCCCTCGTGTAAAACATATTAATACCAGAAATACAAAAAAAAGCCTGGCACAGAGACACTTAATAAATGCTAATTGAATTGACTTGACTTTGGATATTAAATAATATGATGTAGCTAAAAATCATTTGCCTTTTATAGATATGACTCTCATTTCCCAGGGTTTATAATATTTAAAAGTTTTACTTTACCTTTCTCAGTAATGTTGGAATGTTACTATACACATCTATTTTTTTTTGGGGGGGGAGGAGTACGTATTATATCACTCTGTACCTGTGAAAAGAATATTGAAATCATGCTCCTTTTTGTGCAATAACCATACAGAAGGCATTGGTAGAACTAAATTTAGTTCCTGTCCAATGGGTTTACCATCTGAATTAGATTGACACCACTCAAATTAGTTGTAATAATATGAAAGTGGCAGAAAATTACTATAGACCATAAAACTTAATAGAGGAAAAGTAGGTGATTTCACTTAGGTTTCTGACCAAAGGCTACCTGACAAACATCTTGTGGGAAAATAAAAGCCCTAAGGCAAAATGATGGAAAATTTATCATCAAGAATCATTAGAAAGTCCTTAGAGTAGGAGGAGAAAGGTGATTATGTATGAGTGTCTAGACATAGCCACTGCCGATCAAGTAAGATCAAATAAATATGATGAGGACTGTTAGAGGGGTTTATGTTCTTCCAGCTCTAATCAGTCTATTTAAGACTATCACACATCTTAATGAGAATGAATTGGAATCTTTCATTACTACTGATGAGGATTAACATTGATGTGGAGACAACTAAAGTTCTTTGAATTTTGGCAATGCCTGAGAGGAAATGATAGATATACAGTTGAAGTTTTTAAGAGTTATAATGAGCATTCATCATTTCTTATGAAGCGTTTTAACCTGGGAAAGAAACCATCACTTCTCTTCATGAATAGTCAATTCTTGCTTTCCTTTCCTCTCATTACCCACATGAAATGAAGGGTAGGGTTATATAATGGGCAGCCAGGTGGCACAGCAGATAGAGTGCCAGCCCTGGAGTCAGGAAGACTCATCTTCCTGAATTCAAATCTGACCTCAGACACTTAGTAGCTGTAGTCACTTCACCCTCTTTGCCTCAGTTTTCC